GGGGGGGGGGGGGGGGGGGGGGGGGGGGGGGGGGGGGGGGGGGGGGGGGGGGGGGGGGGGGGGGGGGGGGGGGTACTCTTATGTTTTGCATGCCCTAGCGGTTAGAACATTGACCATGCGTCCTCCAGAGGACGGGCGACATTAGAGAGTCCCTGATGTCCATAGCATTGACAACCCCAACATGTCCTCAACCATAGAGAAGCACCGCCACGAAACCCTCGCATAAAATATTGCATCCAGGGTCCAATGAACGAAAAATTACGTCGCTGTCATCCGATACAGTGTAAACCAGTACGCGTTCTTGGCAATAAAACGCGCGGTCCGATTCAGTGTGACTCAGTGTACTTGCCGTGTGATATCCCCTGCATTTCTCTTTGAACACGCTGTCCATTTCCGCAAGAAAGGCCGCCTGCTCGTGTTCCCCTACACAGCTCTGCTTCGTCGAAAACTGCAACACGGCCTGGCCGGCGGCGATCCCGTCCCCCGATCCCAAGCATTCCTGGACGAACATGAGCCAAAGCGTGATGTTTGCATGCGTCTGCGAGCGGAACGGTATGACTAACAGTAATCTATCTATCTCGGTGCCACCAGCAACCCAGATATGCATTCAGCGGGACATCGTAAATGGGTAGGTGATTGACCTTGGGGACGATACTCACGTTCGACGACAGGACGGTACTTTCCAGCCTCTCCATGGAAGCACACGCCACAACAGTTGGACAAGGATACAGAATGTGGCGGGTTTTCAACGGGACGAAGGGGCGGCCGCAAGCCGCTGCTTCCTTGCAGTTACCCTGGCGCAGACCAAAAGAATGAGGGCACGCAACACTCATTCGCCAAGGCTGCGTTTACCCACGCTCTCCGCGTCGTCTACGGTGATTCGGTTTGCCAGGCGTAAAGTCTGGGAGTGCCAAAACTTTCTGAGTAGAGACTGGGAGAGACACAGAAATGCCTTGACGCGCGAAGTTCTACTGGCCCTTCTCTGGTTTGATTTTCAATATGGTACATACGTATTTGCACGATGCATTATTGGATAATATTTGGCTCGTGGCCATGGCAATTCGTTCGCCTTAGGAATAGGAACGGCGATAGACGTCAGTACGATGCTTGATGTGATAACAGGAAGGACAATAGTGTACGGTGCGAGACATACTCACCAGAAGTCGAACGAAGTGGCGTTGCTGGTGGCCGTACAGTTTTGCGACCATGCCGGCATCCACGAGCACCAATCGAGGTGCACTCGTGCCATCCTGATAGAGCGCAACAACGGCCATCGCATCGCACAGGTAACCAATCGTTCCAAGAAAATCAGAACAGCAACCAACAAAGGCGTACCGTAGAAAGCGAAAGAGAGGAGCGTCGACTCGCTGGTCGGGGGCAGTGCAAGGATACTGTCACACTAGAGGCCATGCAGCAATCATGGACAATTTATAAAGGTGTCCGGGACGGCATTATCGTACGTAACTCGCAACCATGTGAAACATCCAATGTCTGCGTGTGTTCTACGACTATTACCCAGAGATATCGAACACACGTCTGCCTCGGAACACCGTAGTCTGTCTGAATACCGCTAAGGCGGTTATGACCACAAGACGGTGGATGGAAGTAGGAAAACACATGTCCACCTGCGGGTGCCGAGGTTCACCTCAGCCCCGAGGGGCATTTGTAAAAAGGACAGAATGAAGACAAAGAAGAAAGTTGCGACAACATCGCTTCCCTAGTCTCTCCCATCACGTCCAGTCTCCCCCAACACGAACGACGGAAGGCTGAAAATACGTTGAACGCCCCTGGGCGAGTTCTACCTTCTTACGGCTGTTGAATAAGCGATCCCCCCTCCTTCAACAATCCCAGGGTTGCAACTTTCCGACGACAAACTTGTCAACCCGCGGGCCAAACACAAGCGCTCTGCGGCAGTCCTCCCGCTACTAACTACCTTCACAAATGGACTACTTAGCAAAACGCAACGAGATGGGATGAACCAGTCAAACATGTGAAGATGCCGACTTCACTGGAGCAGAAAAACGGCGGCCTCACCAGCAGCAAAACACATCACCTTTGGGGCATGTACAAGAATGTTGCCCTGCCCGTGCCCATCATGATCGACAGATGGCGATGGCGACGATCGCGGCAGCGACGATGATTGTGATCGAGAGGATGATGACGGCCATGGCAATGGCGATTGACGTCGAAGCGACATGAAATACGACAGCACAACATCGGGTGGTTCAGGCAGCGTTCGGGTTGACGTTTGGATCGCAATTCGATAGCGATGACAACCACAAGCTGGCGCAGGCCGCTGAGATACGGCAACATCGCCGCGTGTTGGACACACCAACAAGTCTAGGACGACTCTGCCGACACAAGGCTGGGCTACAACAGACGCAAGGACATCGACATCAAACTGCTCATGTACGCGCTACAGCTGTGCGTACCGGATGTAAATCGGCGTGGAGCAAGCCGTCGTTGAGCACCATCTTGAGCCACATGTCCTCCCCGCGAGTAACAATGAAATGCCCAAGGGCAGGATCCGGTGTCCCTCCCTCCAACGACTTCTGCCGCGGCGGATGCAACACGTACAGTAAACCGCGAAATATATATACAAAAACGACGAACATCGTTCTATCAAGGCCATGCAGCGTAGCAAGCGTGGCATCGAAAGACAACCAGGGGCAGCAACGGTACGGCGCATGCATTCTTGATGCTTGAAAAACGGGTGTGCTGAGTCTGGCACCGCCAGCACTCCGACTCTGCAAACGCCGGTGACATTGAGCTTCGTGTGTCAGTCGCAGGGATAAGTGCGGGATACTGCACACGAGCTGCGTGGAGACCTTAATGTGAAGTTGGCGCCGAACAGCTACGACAGACATAACCAAGATCGCACGGGACAAGGACCGGCATCAGCTGCAACGAAGTCGAGGGCAAAATAGCCAGCAGGTGACCCTACAATGCTTGCCGGTCATCGAAAAACTGATAGCCTGTTTGAGGAATACTTTCGGTCACAGTCACACAACAAGAGCAAGCAACCTTCAGTACGAGTTTCGCCCATGATTACCGAAACAAAACGTGGCAGATGTAGCTCGTAAGCTTTCCTCACTTGTAGAGAAATGGATCCTCATTCCATCTACTGCTGTGCTGCTGTACTGTGCTCCTCCTTCAACACCCTTGAGACTGCGTCTAGGTTGCGATTTGTAGAGGTCGTGGCTCATGCTAGCATCACCAGCTAGTTATACCACAACTTCACAAAGACTACAACAACAGGTAAGGTGCATCACATCACCTCTCGGTCCCGACTTGGCCTGCCCAGGAGGTTAGTCAGTCCCCTCTTCCACAACCCCACGTTTCCATCACGCGAGTTTTTCGCAAACAGCTTGGCGTACTCCGCAACGACGATGCCCTCTTCGAACGTCTCCACCTGATTGAGAAAAAAGTTAAGAGTGGGTGGAAAATTGAACAAAAAGATGTTCTGGCGCAGAATGAGAAACTCTGACTACGGTGGTGCACGCAGATAGATCGGTTGACGTGGCAAGGCCGGTTGTTGGAATTCAACCGAGACGAGACCGTGATTTCGTCAGGACTGTCAATAATGGTAAATGACCAATACACCTTGTGTACATCAGATCTCCGGGATCGGCGGAGAATAGACGTGCGTGACTCTACCCGAGAGCGTAAGCGAACAGAGCCAAACAAGGATAAACAATGAGTAAAAGCCAAGGGAAAGGGCTCCTCAACGAGGTTCTCCGAATGCTCCGCTCACCAGGACGTCTTCGACACAGTGGATTACGGCGGGGAAGGCACAGTCAGACCATGCTTCGCCGTTAAAGTTCAAGTTGAACTCGTTGAGGTGCTTCGCCTCTAGCACCAGGTCCGTCTGTTCCGCCGCAACAGAGCACACAGCATTTCGACTCTTTAGGGAACCAATGTGGAGCCTGCCAAAGCAGAAGGAACGACAAGACTGTCTGGCAATGGCAGAACATGGTATTGCGCTGCTGCTGCTGGTGGCGGTGGCATGGGGTTCGACATCATCGACTCTGCCAGAAAAGCGATATAACCATTCCCGGTATGAACGCAGAACATCTTCGGAATTATCGTTTGTGCAGTGTAACGGGGTTAAATTACGGCCGCGTGGTTAATTACACAGACACTGGACCAGTTGAAGTTCTTTATAAGAGGTCGGCCGCATGGGCCCTTCAACACACACCGACAAATAGCGACGTGAAACCACCCTACCACCGAGGTATTTGTACATACCGGCGTCGTGCTTGCTTTATGGCGATGTTAGGCTGTGTGGGCTGCAGAGACGTGTGTGTAAGGTCTGCTTTGACTGGTGGTTGTAGGGGAGTCGGGCGCGTGAGGCCGTTTTCCCGCTAGAGGTACGCTGATTCTCTACGCCCCTATATCAAGGAAATACCTTTTTCTACAAACGAAGTCACATCAGCCAGCATCCACACGTTCTTCACCACAAACGATACCTGACAGCATATCTACATGCTTGTCCCTGCTTTCACTACTCGAGGCGGTGGCCTACATCGTGCGCGAGATCGAAACATGGTTCACAAAAAAAGACGGCGCAAGTAAGCCCCTTGCGCTGCATGATACCCTTGGATAATTAAACTTTCGTTCGGTGACACGGAAGCAGCAGCGATGGGTTGCTATCGAAATCTTGGCCTTGAAGGCAACATAGGCCTCGCTTCTCCTTCGGCCGTGCTCACACCACGTCTGAAATTTCCCTTGTCCAGTCTACATGTGGCCCGAACACACACATTCCTAGGTGACACGTTTAGAAAAAAAATAATACCGTATCCGCAGTACACACGAAGTACTGCAGGACACCCCCCGACCCCCCAAAGTACGCTTATGTCGCACGTAGGGTTATGTGGGCTAATTCCGGACCCGAGGGTTAGACACAACTCACGGCACAGTTATCGCATGGTCAGAGGGAAACACACCCCACCTGCGCGGACATGGTGTTGGAGAACTGTTCCATGCTGGGGCCCAGGTTCATCCACTTGAGGGAGGGGTTCCGATCAGCGAAGGATGCGATCTTTTTCATCAAGAGGAAGTCGAGGAACATGCGCTCCTTGACCTTGGGGTGTCGCACCTGGACCGCGGCAAGTTTTCGTTGTCGAATCAACACACGGCGAGACGCCGGCAGGCGCAATTACAGAGCGTCCATGTGTTGCGACTGCGAGAACCAAGTCGCTCCGAAAGAGCGCCAGTCACTGCATGAGCCGGGGCATCTTGCGACAGCGCACATGCTCGATTGGAATACCGATTTGGTCTGGTCCCAAAACGCACCTTGACGGCGACCACTTCCCCATTCAAGATGGCCTTGTGGATCTGTGCAATACTCCCGCTTGCGATCGGCTTCGACTCGAACCATGCGAACACCTTTTGGTTCCCACCGGGTGATGTCGTACCGCGACGTGCCGTGGCATCGTATCACGGCACCCAGCGGACACAGCGGTTGGAGAAGGCACAAACGTTGGAGCCGTTACACGATTCGTCCACGGTATCAGAGCACGCCCCCAAAGGCTAGCCAAGACACCGTAGAAAAAGCAATCACGTACTAACTACATTTCGCGCAAAACGCGCCCATGACGTTATATCCTTGCACGTCCCCATGGTGCAGCTACACTAGCACACAGCGCGTTGGTGGCAGGGTTCTGCGACAGGTATCGAGCTTGAAGTAAGAAATCGAACTCCTAGTCTTGACGCCCTCCGGTGACGTTGGGCTGGGACCCTAACACCAACCCTGAACCCAAACCCTAACCGCCTAACCCTAATTTTCTCGTGTTTTTCACGCTCCTGCCTTGCACGCACGAACGCCCACACCAACAAAGAATTCGCCCGCAGCAGCAACGACAGCGGACACCCTCATCTCCTTGGCCGCACTCACCTCAGATATCGGCCGGCCGCCGTACGCTCGCTCCACCAGTTTCTGGGGGATGAGTGGCATCCGATGGGGTCGGTATCGTCAAAGAAGGCACCAGACAGCCGAATTGTTTCGACGAGCAGGGTTCGGATCGAGTAGACGATACAAGTACGGCAGCAGCATCGCAACAAGGGCAAGACCAGCTAGGATTCAGCATGGTCCGCGACAGGGCAGCCGGTAGTTTACTCTGTCCCGTGGCGGTCCGTATGAGCGTGTAAAAAAAAAGAGTGCTGCAAGGTAAGGCTACACTCCAGCAGCGCAAAGGAGACTACAGCGACACACGACCGATATTTGACGTCAAAAGTCGCCAATCCGGGCAAGTCCAACGGGAAACGAGAACCACACGACCAAAACGTTACTTGGACAAAGTATCGCAAGCAAAAAAACACACTCCGAGCATTCGTATATCGTCTTCATACGTACGCGTGGGAATCCACTATAGGCCCACGTCAAAAAGCAACCTGTCATGATGTTGAGCACTTGAATACCGGAGACGGGGCCACTACAGTCCAGTGCACTGCACATACGCTCCGGTTCGACAATACCAGCAAACAAATGTCTTGCGAATCAGTTCACTCTGCCTGAGCGGAAGGGGTGAGATGCAACGGCTTAGGCAGTCAAGGGCAACGCTTGCGAGCGGGTCTTCACGGTCGACGTAGCGCGAGTTCAGAGCCAACTGCAAAGGACGATGAGAACATTTGAGAGGGGTTCACTAGACCTTGGTGTGGGCGAGCTTGTGGGAAGGGGCTCCCTTGTGAAGCACGGACAACGATTCGCACAGCCCCTCAGGGAACATGTCCGGCCGTGTGCTGCTCCACTGGCCCCATTTGATGAAGGCCGTACCGCTCTTCCCGATGGAATACGTCAAAGCTCGATACCACACCTGTTCGTCATGGGGTGTTCCGGCGTTCGGTGACATATGGTTGTGCGACGGTACGTAGCTGCAGCATGGCGTCCCACCGGCACATCAGCAGCTGTTGCTAGGCTAGCCTGGACCAAGCCTATTACGTAACCGTGTTGGTGTTCATTTGTTCATGAACCTCACTATGAAGCTCCCGAGCTTACATACTAACAATACACACGGCCCTTAGGATTGAGTGCTGTGATCGATTTGTGGCATGCATTGTGCTTGTGTCTGAGACAACGGCGAAAGCAGGAATGCTCCGAATAGCCCCCCGAAGCGAATGCCCACAAAAGAAAACCTACTGAACCAACAGACACAACATTTCCGTCGATCGGTTACCACCACCGAACTTGTCGCGTCGTGCGTTCTCGCCAAACATAGGCCACCGCCGTCTACTTCACCACTACGCGAAGAAACGGACCGAATCGCCATACAACCGGGCGCGCAGGCGATGCTTTTTTGCAGTAGAACGAGCACAAAAGGGTTTGAACACAGACACCTTGACAGTACTAGCAGTGCCTTTCGTGGATGTAATAGTTTACGGGCTTGCATGCTATAAGGTACACACGTTTTGGGACAACAACCTCGTCACGACAACCGCGTGGGACGAGGGGCTGCCGATACAAACGCGCACGACTGTTGCAGTAGGCCTGTTCTTCGCGCAGAGGTTGCATGAGGTGGGACTAGCAGCTGCCCTCTACTCGCGTATCGTCCAGGCTTCGCACTTGAACACTCACATGCGATCAGGCCGAACACAAGCTTCGCAAAGGCGTATTCGGCTATCTGAATCTCACGGCCAATAGTACCTACTCCAAGACCTCGTCCGCTCGGAGTCCACCCGCCCGAAGACAACCCCCCCTACCCGCAACTGGAATTCGGGAAGCTACTCTTCTTGTTGTGAAGGAATGCACGCAAGGCGTTCACAACCACAGACGGCACAACCGCTTCAAGGTGGGGCTCAAGGGTTGGAATCCATGAAAACAGATCGAACTACAGCAGTATCGAACAGTTTGATTTAGAGAGCATGTACATTGTAGCGACCGCAGGAAGGAGTACTGAACAACGACTCAAAGAACGCAAGCCACGCACCTTTTCTCTGAACCAAGAGGAGAGATAGGCAAGGCCCGCGCTCAGCAGGGGGAAGAGAAACACCAGTAGCAAGAAGCAACTCCGCAACACCAGCTGGTACGCTACATGCGGATACGCGCGTCATGGATGGGTAACGGTCGTTGTTAGCCTCAACATCTTCGATCACTCCTCGTTCTAGCCGGGCTCGTTCGATTTATGTTAGGTTCGCTTGGGGAACCAAGCTAGGGTAAGGTCTCTGCGAGGTGCTCAGTTATCCTACGATGTTGAACGTACGTGCGCTTTCGATTTAGGCATCGGGTGTAACACTCCTACCTCTACCGACGAGCGCAGGAATATTGCAAACAGACAAGGAGGCACAGCACACATTAGTGCCAACCCGGACGGGGGGCGCCAGGCAAGTGGTACCACACGAATGCCCTGCGGCATAGCATTGTAAACATAAAGGAACGAACCTTCACGAAAGAGAGCCGGCTAAGGTCTGCATTCTCAGCAAGCGATTCGCAACCTTGCCGCGGGGGAGCTGAAGGGACGGCGTCGAGAGCACAGCTGGTATGTTAAACATATCCCTGCACTACCAAATTAACGGTTGCCCGTGCGTATACTCCCACTCGCCCAGTCTTCTTGGCGATACTCGGGTGAGAAATCCACGAATCCATGAACCCAGCTTGCGACAGGGGATCGCGTCGCGAAAATATCGGGTTGACCAGCCGAAGAAAGGCAGGGTCTGCAGACGATGACTTCAATCGACTGGAAATCTAATCAAAACCTAGGTAGGACGTGTTCTTACTCTAACGTTCGCCTTCCATACAATGATGCGAGGTTCTGCTGCTGACTCTTTGTCGTGGTCCCCATCACCACGACACAACTGAGGATGCACGGAAAACGTCCGCACGCGGAATAACACCCTCTCTCACCGGGGGCAGTTTTGGGTTGCACGCCTGACTCGGCGCTGTCAAGCCATTTCGCCTCTTCCACCAGTCCACCCTCATGCTTTTGGTTCTCCTTCACTTCATCAGGACTAACATTACCGCCAGCGCTGAGGTCGGCGTCTCCGCCGTGCAGACGGCCGCCTTCTTCCAAAAACGCATGCGGGTAGCAGAGGTTCGTTGTCGCTGTTGTTTGCGCCAGTATTGAAAGAAGACGGTACTATTGCCTGGGTTTGTTCTTGTTGTTTCGAGCTGTGGCGCTTCACGTTTCGACCGCTATTCAGTAGATGTCCTCCTTCTCTTGCGCAGCCGGGCAAAGAGACGAGTTTCCGCCGTCAGAAGTTGAAACCAAAAAAGGGTACAGCCAACCAAAGCACCTAAGATACAGCGTCTCGCCGGTTCTCCTTGTAAGAAAAGCAAGGGTGCCGCAAGACATGTTCATTGCAGATGCCGTGTCACATGCAACAGCGTTAATTACAACAAGCGTTGGAGTTGAATGGAAGCAGTTACATATACGTGGTACGTCTAAGCACAAACAGAAACATAAATACGGTATTGTAAGCAGTAAGAGAGGCGCAGTCAAGAATCATCCCTTGGTTGAAAATGGAATATAATAGTAGTATATGTACAGCAGTGTACGCATGCATCTATCTACCAGAGGGAAAACCGTTTACAGGACGTCGGCACACGGGTGGAGATACTGCTGGAACTGTGTTGGATAGACTAGACTACAGATGAGGTGCCCTAAAAACGCACCCAACCTGTAATCTCCCTTCTCCTTAACAGCGCATAAGGCGGCAAGTACTTTGTCGCACTGTTGTGTGCGACAGCCGTGCAGTACATGCATAGGATACGGGCAGTCGCATCACGGGAGGTCCGGTCAGTGCTATCTCGCCCTCCTGCTGTTCAACAATTCTATGTTATGCAATGCTTGTTGCAGGTACAATATCGTGCGATCATGTTACCATGTCCGTCATCTGCCACACCTCTTGGTGCACTGGTGCTTCCTCCAATGCTCGCCCCCGAGCCTCCTCGCAGTCCAAGAACACTCCTGGCAGCTTCATCTATTCGGCAGCATCGGTTGATGTACCTTCCATCCCTAGCACATGATGCGGTATTTAGCACCCCCTTTCGCGAGCTGGGAAGCCCCGCTGCCGAGCCAGCTTCGCAAGCCCGGCAACGCGCTGTTAGGACCAACAGAAACAGAATCCAGCCCCTCCTCGTAGCTTCCGTCACCAGTTTCATGCAAACGACAGTCTCCGCTCTGGAGATGGGTGTCAACTGAGCATGCCATGCAGGTGAGCAGGCAGTACAGCGAGCTGGGCAAAGAGCAGAACAAGAGGTTCCGTGAGTAAATGACAATTATAACCCACGTACGTGTACCTTCATCGCAAGAAGAACAGGCTGCCGACCCCCCCATTTCTTTTGTTGCAGATTCTACTGCTGTTGTTGTAGCTTTTCGCGATTATTTCTTGGCAAGAAACTCGGATGTGTAGCATGTAGCGTGTTCGAAGCGTAAGTTATGTCCTCTTCAACATTTTGAAAAACTCGGTTGTATGTGTAGCATGTAACGTGTTCGAAACGTAAGTTATTTCCTCTCCAACATTTTGGCGTCTGTCTCCCTTCGCATTGATTGTTGTTAACGGAAAGAGGGCGAGGCAAATACAAATGTGAGGTGATGCCGACCTCTCGAACCCCCTGCTCCCTGTATGCATGCATACAGTGGGGGGGCGTGTCGACAACGAACGCCGGTTGATTAGCGCCGGTGGCCCTGAATAGCGTCGCCGGTGAAATTGCCAGGCACAGACTGAATCGCCAAGTTATTTTGTACATTGAATAGGGCGGGTCTCCTTGAATAGCGGCGGTCGATGCGCCGGGCACATACCGGCATTATCGAGGGCCGCCCACCGTATTCATTATTACACGATGGTTGGTTGGTGGATGTTCCCGAGACAGACCCATTGGCAAGCCGATCTCTCATTGTTTCGCATCATTTTGGCAGTCGCCCCCAGTACATCGTAGTACTTCGAAGTACAGAGTGTAGTAGTTATGGTGTCCTCGCAACCTTCTAGCGACCAGGGCAAGGGGTTCGAATCCGGTGTAAGTGAGGTTTTCGTGCGAAGTGAGGTTTCTCTCGCTTCTGTTCGTGGTGGTGGAAAAAACAAACTACGGCGGTATAGTCAGACGCCGACGCAGCAAAAGTCGACGACGAGTAAAAACTGGGAATGATGCCAATAGGTTGTGCAGCAGGCCACACGTTGACCGCCTGCGGAGGAGGGGTGGCATACGAGCCTGGGGTGGCATTACTAGGTGCATATGTTTGTATGCATCTCAGTGCCGGTCGTGTGTGGCTAAGAAAAACAAAATGATCCGTCGGTGTTGGTGAGTACAGACCGCGCCACCACCTCAAGAACTTGGTTGACTTGGCAGTTGGCAGTTGATGAAGACCTTGAGCCTTGGAGAATCCTAAATAATCCAGGAAAGAAGTTGGCCATCCGACAAGGTGGTTATTTCCGACGTTGCGTAATAACTCAGGAAGGGGGGTGATCCCAACACAGCTTTCAGATGCGGAGCGGGGCACCTCGTGACAAAACCTGTACGCGCGGAGGGGGGGGGGGGGG